AACAGTATCATTAAAAGTCTAAATAATGTCACTGTGTTTTTGTTTAGCGCTCGGTTTCATTTGGCATTGAAGCCTTCGGTAACATTATTGGTACGGTGATGCTGTCTAAATACACTTAATGTTTTCATTATATCATTTTTTTTTAAATTGGCCAGTACATGAGTAGAGGACAAAAGGATGGTCAGCGGTCTCAAAAAGTTAACAGTGGAACACCTAGGTGAACCACTTTGGTGTTCCACGGGTCAGAAACGCCATTTCTCAATCAATTTATTAATTAAACTGACTTTCTTTGGCTCTTCATCTAGTAACATTATTCATACCTTCTGTGCGGATTGTAGCTTTTTTAAATATATGTTTGAGTTTTTATTTAAAAATCATGAGTTCTTATATAAAAAGATGCGATAAGCTAGATAGCTAAACAATACGGTCTGTCCATATAGGAAAACTAGAAAGCCACTAAGGGCGTTCGTATTTTAGGGACAGCATGGCACGTATTATGTTGCTCTAACCCTTTTTTTTTTTGACGAAGTTTACCCACTAAAACTCAGCGATGTCCCTCTCATGGAAGGCGATGCGCGGGATCGGCCCAAAGGCCATACACCGCGCGGTTGTTGCTCTAACCCTAACCTTAAATATGCAGCATTTCCTAAGTAGTTTCTTTTATCATTGGCAAAATTACACTCTTTAATCGGTGTACTTACATTATTATAAGTTTTTGTGATTTTTTTATGGACGTCGTTGTTGTTATTTTTTTAGGGCGGTATTTAGTTACCGTTTTGTTTAAAGCGCTGAATTTCTTATCTAAGCGGTGTTGCGGAGGAGATTGGATGCGCTACAAAAATGTATTTTGATAATTTTGTAGGCAGAAAAGAATAGCAGATTTTCCTCTGTACACCTGAACAACTCAAGCATACTTAATATCTTTAATTCGCATCTTTTAGCACATCTGTTAGCTTTACTTTAATATCTTTTAAAGAGGCTCTCCTCTAAATTAAATATTTATGTCGGTGTATTCATTGCGAACAGCTCGATGGCACAGTGCGTAGTGTACGTTTCTTAGGTGGACAGTAGATAATTGCTGGTTTTAGTATGATTTAGTTATGGAAACAGAGAGAACATAGATAAAAAACAATTTAGTGTCGAAAATATTACATTTTTTCTTTATGTAACTTGTGTTGTGCCAGCAACACGTAGCGCGCTCGGTCTGTGATACGTTTGCACAGGCCCGTCATAGGATGGGCGGTCAAAAATGTAATAAAGCTCCTCCGTACTTCGGAACGCACTTAAACCCGTTGGTTCAGCTGCATTTATTTACAGCATTAATACTAATCTGCACAGGGTCTGTGTACTGTATTTTGGCCCATTCTTCCCATTCGATCCCATACATACGGAAGGCCTAAGCCCCAGCATCGGCAAAATTAATAGGTGATGATGATGAAGCTACAAAAACTAACTTACAGTAATGATATTAAGCGTTGGAAATCACATACATATTCGGTTACACAACTTATAACAATTAGTGTGAAAGCAGCTTAATCTAACCCGGCAATGGGTGCTGTTGACAAATGTTCTCCGTTACCCACATCTGGTGTTGCGTAGAAACGACATTCTTTATTGCGTTAAAACTATATTATGGAAAAAGAAATACCCAAGTCTTATGCGGACCATATTTCATACTCTCAGTTACAGATGTCCATTGAAATTGTAATTGTAATTAGTAATTAGTTTGTAATTAGTTTAAAGATATATTACCAATATAAATTTTCAAATTAAGAACATTCATTAGTAGAGCTTAAAGTTGTTATTAAACCTTAATGGTCGTTTGTGCCACTAACCGTTACTAAGAAAATTTGACTTTCCGAACGCATTTTAAACAGAAAAATTAATATTATCCTTAGAGAAACATATCGATACCGTTTTAATTTACGTATAAGTTCTTAGATAAGAACATAATCTTCGTTGCCCAGTCTTACTTATTTTACCACGAATTCTTACAAATTATGCTGAAAAAAGTATGACTTTTGTATGGGTACAACTTTACATTAAAATAACTTACAATTAAAAGGATGTAAGTTCAAAAAATTTCGAGTCCAAACTGTCGGAATATATAACGAAAATAATAAACTGATTTGTTCAATTTTTTCCTGCTTATTTGTAAAAAGCTGTTAAATTGTGTCTGTCGTTCACTTGCACAAACGTCCATTAATGTTTAATGACGACTTTAAACTCTAATGAATGGCTAAATTGTACGGGTAATGTTGCTTTAAACTAATGAAAATTTTAATGGACGATTGTGAAGCTAGCCGTGTTATGTGTAGGTAATTGCAGATAGTAGTTTATTGCATACGTAGATTGTTATTATAATTATTATGTGAAAGACAATATTGAAATTAATAGAAATTCCTTATAAAATACTGATCCTTAACCCATGCTTGCTTTACAGAGGTGGCAAACCATCCTCAAGGAATATATAAACTCCTTGGTTGAAAGCGTTTCTGGCGCCCGTACTTCTCCACTCCAAATGACTAAAGATACGAGTATATTAGTTAAGTTCAAACTCCATTGTCAGCCCTTGTGTTGTAATTAGCTATCTGTACCTAAATTAACCTCTCGTTTCTTATGCCAATAATAATATGACATTCTGTGATACTAGTCTTCATAAACCTACTTTTTCTTTCATGTAAAAAAATCTTCAGCGACCTTCATAGCGAGTAGCAACTCGAAGGTTGATCATTCTTCCTTATCATCTCTATAATATCGTTTCAACTTAAAGTCTATTTGAGTACACAGTTAACGCGTCATTGTTAAAGATTTCTTTATCACAATATTACAAAAAGCATTTCTGAAACAAATTTTGAAGTTGACTCTGAACATATTGCAGTTGAAAATAAATTGGTTAAAAACTTTGAATTTTGTAATAATCTAACGTGCTGTCGTGTACCTAAAGTGTTTACTTAAAATTAGAGGGTCTATTACGATAATAGTAAGCAGTAATTAGACTACGAAGCTTAGATTTATTAATTTTAGAATCTTATTTCAATAATGCTTTACACCCGACTTCAATATTATTTTCTTGAATAAGTCGCTTTTAAAATAAGTATTATTGTTCTCTTTTTCTTAAGTTTGAAACAAGTTAATTTTATTTCATGTTTTTTAAGTGATATTGATATTTTTTTTATATTAGATTACACTAAGAACACTGTTCTGAAAACCGCGTCAAAACAGTGTTAAAGTGCGGACTTCCATTTTTTAGTCGGTTAATATACCTAAAACCATTTCCTAAGTCTGACAAATACGATACTGAAACCCGCATCAAAATCGGTTTAACGAAACGCGAGATAATCGCGTACAAAACTTACATTCATACATACAGATCAAACTGATGTCTTCTTTTTTTAAAGTCGGTTAAAAATCAACTCGACGTCGAGCATAGCGTTATCTGTGTTGAGGTTGAATCTAATAAAACAAGGTACTACCTTTTGAAGTTTTATAATAATCTAATAAAACTTCAAAAGGTAGTAAAGGGTCAAAATTGTCCGATTATTATCGGACTCCATTTTCGTAGTAAATTGAAGACAGTACGATTTTTAGTAAAGAATTTGATTTAAAAAAAAGTAGGAGTTAGAACAAAGTCCGTTCCCTTTTAACGCTCGCTTTCCTTATCAAGAGATTCAGTATTAAGATTAAGATAAACTTTTGCAATTCAGATAAGTAAATTCAACAGTTATCTAACAATTAAGACTTGCGAGTACCGTTAGTAATGGTTCAATAAATACTTGATAAGAAATGAAGTGAAACAGGTTCAAGGGAACGGAATTTGGGAACTTGTATTATTTTATTCATGCCTGAAGAACGTACCTCTAAGACAGAATGATGGGGGTAATATAAATTCCAAGTGTTGTTTTTACATCCAACCTTGTGAACTTCTTTCCTTAATTCTGCGTCCACACTGACGCAATATTCGCAAAAAAAAATTTGTAATTATTTAGTTAGTCATAAAAATTTTTACTTTCCGCTAGCAGCTTTGCTCGCGCGTCTTACATGACGGCTTGACGGCACTTTTATATCTAGATAACTGTTTGATTAGCGTCCTAATGTTTCCTTACCTTTCCCTATGACCTATTAGGATAACTGCCCTAGAATTCCGTAAAAATCCGAACCCGAATTCGAATTCATTCAGCTGTCCGGATGTCACTTCGAAAGCGACATACGACTAACCTTGAACTGGTATTAAAGTTTGGTGGCATAAGTGAATAGAGTTTCCAAATGACATCGTGATAGAATATCTGAGACACGTATAATCAATTAATTTTGTTTTGTATTTTTATACAAATAATGGAATCAATAGAATTTCTACACTAAATAATGTAAATTCGGATTCGGATCCGGAATTTTACGGAATCGCTGTGCTAATTTTATACCCGGTGGAACAACTGGTCGAGAAAGAAAGTAGCTTATTTGTTAATCCAGGCTACCACCAGGTTAAAACCATGTGGTACCAGGGTAAAAATCACGAAAGCGGGCCATATCAGATATGGCCCTTCAGTTAATTGCATTTTGTATTTTAATTATTAGATTTGAGTTATCAACTGTACATGGGTATCGATAAATCAATAAAGATAGATATTTTGTTAACAAAAAGCCATCAACACGTTAAAATTATGTCGCGAACTACAGATTTCTGTAATGAATGACATATTTTAATTTGTTAATTTCACCTATGTATCAGACAAGTAGAGCTAAAAAATCAGTACTTAATCAGCAAACGATCTATCTTGAATATTAAAATAAAATAAAAAACTAATAATAACAGGAATATATAACATATTTTAACACAATTAAAAAGCTTCTCTGTGTTCTCAAACGACATCGTTTAGAAAGTTTCTATAATCTTTTACTTACAATTTCTTAAATTTTGTGAATGATTACGAGTTGACTATTTGGTCAATTTATTGTGCTGCTGTGTGTACTTTTGTGAATTTACAATGTTGTTGTTACAGCAAGAATGTGGCGAGGAGATTTGGGAGAGAATTTTAAGAGAATCAGGAGCAAGAAATACGGTGTTCAGCGCTACACAGGTATATTGGAATTATCATATTTTTAAAAGGAAATAGTTGATAAATCACTTTAAAACCAAGACGTGATTTTAAGAACCTAATTAAAAAAAATATAAATGACACCAATTTATTCCATTAAGTACGAAGCGAAGCTGCAAAATATTTATCATGTAATAACCGTAAAATTATTGTAAATTTGCTAGTGTCAGCTCTTGAATTAAGAAAAATGTATAAAGTCGAATTTTAGAAGTTAATTCTCAAGCGGGTCAAGCACGTGAAAACTGCCATGACGTCTAGTTCAATAATAAGTCATACAATAAATCCCATATTCCTAATCCCTATAATAGGTAAGGAAGTAATGGACGTGATAGCCTTTAATGTATATGTATATTAATAGGTACCTTTCGAAGATATATTTACCCATTAACTATTCAAAATATTGACAATTGATATGTAATGAAAATATTATTAATCTTGTTACAAGAACTTTTGATTTGTTCAAATTTTTTTCCCCTACCACTTGTTCAGAACGTCTTTTAGCTGACAAAATATTTATACACGTCTTTTAGCTCACAAGACAAACTATTTATGGCTTCTGAATATTGACATATCTTTACAGCAATATCCCGATGCGCTTATGCTGAGGCTAGCGAGTGCCTTAGCACGCTTATTGAACAGTGATCCCAATAGTCCAGTAACTTCCACTCCAGCCAGCCCAGCTCCCAGAAAACCATCGCTCAAATCCAAACCTTCGTGGAGAAGCGCTTCAGTTCACAATGACGGCAGAGCACATTTCTCAAAATGTCATTTCACAGCAACCAATGCTCTATTACAAGCTACAAAAAAAGAAATAGCTGCCTATAATTCCTCTGAAGAAATCCGCAACAGAGCTAAATCGATTGATAAAATGAATGAAAACAAAGAGATAGCTTCAAGAGTTCTAAATTCAAAGAGGAGAAGTCTGGCATTTGCTCTTGAAGATTGTTATAGAGAAGTGGAAAAGATCCCCGAGTCTGATAAAGTAGAGGAAGCTACGAATGCCATTGACGATTCAAAATCTCCTTCACCAGATTCTGAATATATGAAGACTTGTATGATGAAACCCCCGTGCCGTAAAACCAGTTGCACAGTAGCTTTAGATGTGTACAGACGAAGAGGGTCAGGTGTTCCAGCAAGGCCGAGACTAAATAGCCTCTCTTTGATCAGTGAGGATAAGTTGAGCAACCTAAAAGAGAGGTTCAGTACACCAGAGAAGGTTATGCATTTCTTTGGAAGATGTTTTGTCAAATATTTCAGTAACTATGGGTAAGTAATTTTTGTCAAAAAGTTTTACTGTCGACTTAAACTAATCTATAATAGTATTTTAAGGAGTAAATATTTGTAAATTTGTACAATTATTTGCATCGATTAGGCTGCAAAAGTACTGAACCGGTTTTAAAAACCTTTCACCTATTGGAAGGTATGTGGTTGATATAGATTTTAATTTGCGCTAGCGAAGTCGCAGGAACAGCTAGTTAAACTAAAATATGATTTGTGTATTACGTGCATTTAAAAATCTACAAAATGTTTATTGGGTTCATGGATTAAATCACATTATTACATTTTTAAATTGTTTGCAATACACAGTATTTGAATAAAAAGTTTGTAGATGATAATTTATCACTGGCGACCTCACACTTCTAATAGAAAATACCAACGAGGGATCCTCCATTTATCACACGCCAAAACCGAAGCCACGTCAATAAGACTGATATCACTCAACGGGTGGCGTGAATTGGCGCGAAAATTGTTTCACGTTTCAGCCTCTCAGTGTTCGAAGAGATTTCGCAACCCCGCCGAATGAAATTACTTTTGATTGAATTTATCAAACTTCAAGAGTGAAAGCTTTAAGTCTAATGCAAATACCTACCTACAAAAATTAGGCTCCCGTTTCCACAAAGCCTGAGAAATAATTAATATTCCGAGTTTTTTACGTCCAATCATACTCGAAGTTTTAATATATAGTTTTGATTCTAAAATTTAATAGGAAAACAATGTGAGTGCAGCGTGGTCAAAGTTAGATGTGAACGTAGTGGATTTTAACGTAGAAAAATATCACAAATAGCTAATTCACTTTTTAAAGTTGTAAGCATGACGTAATCGATTTACAAAATAATAACTTTAACAAGTCTATTCAATATATTCGAATTGAGATCAAGATTTGTTTTATTGCAGATAACTATTAAATAAATTTTAATCCTCTTTTCCTACAACAGATACGACACGATGATCCGTGCGACTGGCCGCTACTTCTGCACATTTCTGCAATCTGTGGACAACATCCATCAACGTATGAGATACACATTTCCACGGATGCGTTCTCCATGCATGCAACTGACGCGCGCGCATCGCCACGGCGCGGAGTTAGTGTATAGCAGCACTAGAACTGGCTTCACACATTATCTTATGGGTAAGAAACGAATAATTCCTCTTTACAAGCTTCTTACAAGACATTGAAATAAAAAGTAAAAGTTCTTTATTCAAATAATCTCTTATTAAAGGCATTTTTGAATCGTGTAACATTTGATACGTACTCCTTTGTCAGTCTAAAAGAATTTGCGTAAGAAACATATCAGCTCTTGACAGTAGCAACATTCTATTCATAAGCATATGTGTTATATTATCAAGGCAATGCTTAAGTTATACAACATAGAAAAATAGAGAGGGTCGATCAATGAAAAAGCATAATTTACGATTTGAGGTTATTAAAATACCGTCAAGTTTATTAGCCACACATTGTCACCATGTCTATTATTGCTCCCACGGCTCAGGAACTTCGAATATAAGGAGTCTTTAAGAATGCTTAGTGCATACTAGAGGGTAATAACGGTTAAAGATAAAGGTAATAAATGCTAAAACCTAATAGATAATAAGCTAGAAAAATAAACTTTGAAATTTTCTGCCGAAATCAAAAGCACAATGAAGTCGCGAGGAGGTTAAGTACTCATAAAATTTCTAATCAAACTAGGCTACCCATCATTTATATTATCACACAAATCTGAAATTTTAGTAGTTCAAGACGTATCATTATCCGATGACCTTTAAATTAAATATTCAAGCTACTCATTTTTATTTAGTCTTGTTTTCATTTATTTCTTATCTTTCAATTAATCGAGACCCTTGACACCAGGGCCGGACGCTTTTGGGTCTAGGGGATCTCATTAAGACAGTTTTTTTTTTTCGAATTACTTATCACCGTCTAAAGTCGTGAAATTCAGAAGGAGGGTAATACTAAAGTCACGTGCTTATTTATACTAACATTATAAAGCTGAATAGTTTTTAGGAACTACGAATCAATTTTTTTTAATGAAAAATATTGCTGATTCAGGAAATACATGAAGGAGAAGTCGCTGGTGAAAAGCTAGTAGTATTTAAAAAGCAAGGCGATTAGTGCTATGTCTTCCTGACAAATAAGTGAAATGAAAATATGTTTATTCAAGTAAACTTGCTACAAGCACTTTTGAATCGTCCAATTTTTTTTTCTCCCTACCACTTGTTCAGGACGTCTTTTAGTTGAAAAGAAGAACAAGCGAAAGAAACTTACCAGCTCGTTATCACAAGTAATAACAGTTACAAAATCATGTCATTACCGAAATAATATGTATTGTCACAATAATAAACACAACTTTCAAAATCTGTAGGACATCGGTTGTACATATAATTAGTCGTTATTGAACAAAGCGAAGGTTATTAATTCCATTCATTGCGCTCCATAAAATAATCATAAACTTTATAATAGCCTTTACTCATATGTATGTTCTTTACATGACTTTTAAACTTATTTATGGGTAGGTCAATTAAATTTTGTGATACTTTATTGAATATAGCAATGCATTTACCCAGAAATGACCCTCTGGTTTTCTGAAGTCTGAAGCTTGGAACGGCAAGTTTATTTTTATTTCTTGTGTAAAGATTCTATTGACATAATTGATCTACGTGTTTTTTTTTTTGTCCAGGCCAACTTTACGAAATAGCTGAGGATATATTTTCCTTGAAGCTGAAGGTCTCGGTGCTGAAGGAGAGTATGGAGGGCAGCTACTACGTGGCTGTGCTACGTCTTGAGTTCGATAACAGTGATTATGTAAGTTAATATTTTAATAAATGAATTTGTCAATAGAACCCATTTAAAAACTGTCTCATTTTTAAAGTATCATATCAAGTATTTAAAAATTAGACTTTTTCGTAGCGATCTACCTACTAATTTCTTTTGTTTACATATAATATACCAAGTATTCCTAAATCTATGACAAGATTCGATAGCTGCTTTCACAGAAAGATAGATAATAAATTAATCGACTTGGTTTACGTTGATTTCATAACTTATAACGGTAGAAGAATAGAGTTGTGAGACTTGTTTGAATTTGAATTTGAAAAAGTCTATTATATTCAGAATACAAACTAAGTTGACATTTATTAGATACTAGCTTTCGCCAGCGGCTTCGCCCGCGTGGTTATGTTTAGTGAGATAAAACATAATTTTAATCATTCTATAGGTATATCCAGAGTAAAGTAAATCTGACCTAACTAACTTCTATTTTTTTCATTAAAAATTTCATGTTTGCCAGTCAATCACGCTGCAACCACTAAACAGATTTTTATAATAAAAAATCATACAACATCGATTATGACTATCTTATAATATTGATCTATATACGATGTTGTATGATCTATTATTTGCAGCAAGTACATACAGGTTCCTTGCACTTGACACTCGAGAACATGCCACATAGAGCTGGCCATGGGTAAAGCAGGGAATGCCCAAATGTATGCCGGCCACTTTTAGGGTTTGTCCCTGGGACTTATTGATGGTCATAGCAAATGCCAATTTCAATGGGAACTGCAGCCTTTTGAACTGGAATGGTAAATTGTGGGGTATAATGGGTATGCGGGGAATCAACACGCTCTCGCCTTTAGCTGCTCCCGTAAGTATTGTTGCTCGCACAATGTTTCTCCCCAGTTCGCCGATTTGTAATCTTGTACCGTTGCACAATTGCGGGGCGACAAGATAACGCATCAACAAAACAAAACGCCAACCTTCAGCTCCAGCTTGTGGGGCGGTACGCCCGTCAATTCTAATGAGTTGAGAAACTCCACGGGATACGCAGTGCTGTCTATGGACGTGTACACCCTCGATGCGCCATCTACTATATCTAATACCTTGTTGTTTATTTTATTCACTAATTCATTTTTTGGCGACAGTACTGCTCTCTCACATAACCACTCCTCATTATTTAATTTGTTTTTTAAATCGGGAAATACATTGGCGAGTAGTTCTTCCTCGGTAGCTACTGGATGACAAAATTCATTGGTGAAAATGATTTTGCCGTCCGGTTCGGTTTTCAGCCTACCATTTCCGATCTCGAGCAGCTTACTTGCAAACGCACCTGACTCTGTATCATTGTAAAGTTGTGTACGCATATTCCGAGTAAGGTGAAGTTTTTCTACGTGAGACCAAAGTGACGAAGCCTTGAGATACGCGTTCATTTCATCTGCCAGTGTACCCCTTTCGATAACTGGAAGAGTTTACAAAAATATCTGTAGCCGCTGCGCCACTCTTTCAGCTACAGCACGTCTGCGAGCTTCTGCCGCCTCTAGAGTCTCGGCTGCCGGCTGTGAAATGTCATAAGCAGTTTGCCATTGGAGCCGAGACTGCTTCTGCTCCAGCGTTTCGGACATACGTTTCCCTATGCTGTGAAGATTCAGACGCGCGTTGCGAAGCCAAATAAACAGCATGCTGTTCACGCCGAGACTGCGATTGCTCCAGCGTCTCAGACATACGCAGGCTAGCTTTATTTTCTCAATTCCACCTGAAGAGAAATTGCTTGACTCCTAGCTACTTTATTAGTTCAAGCATGTTTCGATTTATTAGATAAATTAGATTTACGCTTCCCGGGCATCTTACAAAATAAAATAAGAATAAATAATGAAACAAAATGAAGAAACAAACCCAAGAAATAAACAAAGAGTTAATTGAGAAGTAGATTTAGAAAGCTAGATACAGATCTTAATATAAATATGTAAAGTAAGAGAATAGCTAAGTAGATAGAAAATATAGAAGTTATTTGAGAAAAAATCACACAAATTATCAAGTTCTTTAGAATAACCAAATCGACAAATAGAACCAATTGACAACGCAGAACCAAAACGACACAGAAATCACTTACAACGAAGAGATTATTGAATCGCACCGCACAGTCATCTATATCCAAGTAGTAGCGGTAATTCAACATCACAATGTAGAATACAGGCAATCATATCTGTTGAGCTTAATATTACCGATTACATTAAAAATGCTGTTTTATCTTAATACATACATGTACATAAATTAGTGCTTAGAAAATCGGCAATATACGTTGTTTTATTTTCTCAAAAACATCGTAGTAAAACCTAAACTTCTCATCCAATCTATATGGTGTAAAGGACAATTTTCATGTATATTAAATTTCTTCGACGATAAATATATTTATTTCGATAAGGATATAATATCACCTACTCAAATAAACGTTTAAAGACGGACGAAAAATTTAAATAGACTTATACGAAGTTCTTCTTATTTTTGTGGCAAAATCTTTGCACATAGATATATGACATCGCGGACTTTTTTATAGATAATTTAAGACTCTCCAACTTTTCTTTAGAAAGCATCCCTATATCTCATACCGTTTAGGCAGCGTTCACAAAAATAGGCGCCGTTGGAGGTACTTTTATCCCTAGGGAAACTTTTGGTGGGATAAAAAGGATCCTATTATCTAAGTCAGGTAGTACCCTATCTGTGTACCAAGTTTTATCAAAATCCGTTCATTAGTTTCGGCGTGATTGACGTACAAACATCCAAACATCCAAACATCCAAACATCTAAACATCCAAACAAAGAAACTTTCACATTTATAATATTAATAGGATTATAAACAGATCAGGTATGTCGTTCTCGAAAGTGCGACACATGCTTCATCATCATCATCAATTCCTTATGGATCGTTAAGGAGACGGGCCATGACCCTCTACGCTGTCCCAATGCGAATTAAAAGGTATTAACGACTGCAAATGCAACCGGAAACAACGGCTTAACGTGCCTTATGAAACACAAAGTAACTCGAGATAATTATTTTTTGGTCACTTATCCTGTGACCGACCCTTGCAAAAGTTAAATAACAACAAAGATCGCAACGAGTTATGTATCGATTCTTATTTATTAACGAAGCCCATTTAATTTCCGTTTGTCGTTTGTTGGTCCACTCTGTACGCCACATAGATTTATATATGAATTAATAATAATTTTGTTTGCATAAATCACACACACACATGCCAGGAATTATAAAAGTTGAGTGAATACAAATACAGACAAAATATGAAACGAAAAATTTTTAATTAAAAGACATACACAAGTCTGCATGTGTGCTGGAACGATGCAAAAAGGCAAAAGCTCAGTAATATGTTTACTTTTAGAGCAAACTACTGATTTTCAGCTTTAACCTAGAAATATCAATATATCAATGGTATGCATAATTATATTCAAAAGATTTTAAATATGTAGGTGTTTTTACTTTTTGGTATATGTTTGTAAAGATCTACTCTTTGGTTTGTGTTACTAGGCAACACATTCACGAATATTTTCAAAATGCTTTACAGTTATAAATAATACAAAAATCTAAAAAACGGGACAAATATTTCATAATGCTAGATTTTTTTTCTTCACTTTGTATGTAAAATTTGCCCCGTTATGTGATGCCTTATTGGTAAGTTTGGGCTTCTAGTTTACTCCACAGCGAAGTCACAAGGGGTCAAAAACGGCCTGAATGGCTTCGAGAAAAGAATTGTCTTATCCGTGGTCCCAGATACTGGCGAATTGTATTGATTTACAGGATAACTTTTTAAGTTTTTTAAATTTGATAGGATTCAAGTACTAAATAAAAGTAATCCTCATAGTTATTTACCATCAGAAACCATCAATAAATAAATAATACTGCTGGGTATGTTCCTAAATATAATCCGCGTAATAAAAAGAAGTTTTATCAATCTCTGTCTATCTTAAAACAATGCTTCCTTCCTTTTACTATTTTTGTTGTTTCTAACGTCTAACCCTTGTGTGTGCTTATGTTACTACTGTAATTGCTTCATCTTTTAGAATCAGTATATAGAAAAGGCTTTTCGTAAATGCTCGCTGTTCTTTTGATCGCAGCAAGATTAGTGTGTAGGTATAATAAGTATTTACTATTTCCCTTCAAACAGGAAAAATTTGTGATCAGTGCAAAATTCATATTGTGTTAATGAAATTCGTGTTTTTATCACTTTTTTAACCTGATAACATCGCAGATGACAAGTAAAAAAGATGTCTTATAAACACGTTGCTTCATATGATATACCGATTGTACACTGAGGTTGATGAAAATATACCTATAGTTTGTGTACTACTGTTAAAATAAATAATAATGTTAATAAATCTTTATAAAAATGGTATAAAGATACCAATTTGAATATTTAAGCTAAAAATAAATTATTTTCGTCGTAAGTCTTTAAGGCTTTTTAGTAGGTTTTATTTGATTGAATCAGTGTGGCACACCGCTGCGCTGTGAAGCTGTTTTAATAAAAGAAACAGCTGTTTTCACGTGACTTCACCCGAGTAAATTATATCCTTTGTCAACTCTCTACGATGTAGTTTTCCGTAGTATTAACGATTAATTAAAAAATAAAACAAGTACAAATGGCGGACTTTTCGCTTGTCAGCGATCTCTACCAGGCAATCCAACCCAACCCAACCCGTTGAACAGAAGATATTAAATCAGGAATGGATAATAATAAAGTAGCTGTTTTATCATTATGTTTAGCTTTCTCTCCTGGATTTTAGTAATGTATTTAACTAAATTTCTAAATTTATCTTGGCATATTGCGCTCTATTAATATATCTCGAACAGTGATTGACTGTCGTCGTAGTTATCTGACTGACCACCGCCAGCAGGTCTGCTTTGACGAATCTTACTCGTCTTGGTATTTTATTCGCGCCGGTGGAAACAGTAATGCGTTATCAATCTTTGGTTCAATTCAAAGAAATGGTCAAGGATTATTACATTTCAAATCTGTTAC